TTTTTTAATAAAAAAAATAAAAAAAATAAAATTCCCCAATTGTTTCTTATTTACTTTATTTAATTAATTAATTTATACTTATCGGATCTCCTTGTAGTCTTTTAATTAATAAGCTCCCTTTTCATCTCCCCTCTTCCTTCTCCCTTCCCCCAAATAGGGGCCCTCCTATCCACATACGTTTTACTTTTTTGAACAAATTAAGTCATTTAAGAATGTTTTGAATTTTACTGAATGTATCTCTATGATGTTTACCTAGTTCTTCTGTCCACTCTGTTTTCTCTGTTTTTGAAATATTCGCAATGAATTGTGATTATTGGCTAGATTCATCAGTTCATCCACAAATCTTTCTCTTTTTTTGTTTATTAGCTGAAATACTTCTATAAAAGAAATTTTACTTCATCAACTATTTTGATTACTCTGAGACATAAATTATCCACAAAAGGCAGGGTAAATACTGTATTCTTTCCCTTAGATAGTGCTCAAAATATTGAGGTAGCCATTCCTTAGCACTTTCCCAAAATAATTAATTAGTACTTTTTAAATCATTATGATATGTTGCAATTAGTTTCTCATTGAGGATCACATTCTTCCATCTTTGTTCAGTTGGAGCCTCTTCAAGTTACTTCCTCAGTTCTTTTGACACACCTCATGTAGATTTCAAACTTTACATTTTCTGGCATGGCAAGTTATGCATTTCTGACCCAGGAATCAGCCATTTCTCTAAGAAGCCCTACTTCCTTTTAGTGGGAAATGGTATTTGGAGACCACAGTCTGGGTGCTAGGTGTGCTTATTGCTCTAGACCTTTTTTATGGCCATTGATTGGCCTACTTTGAAACCATGCATCAAAGAAAAGTCCCATGATATCTCCCCTTAGTCTAACATTTGACTTGTGCTGGATTATATTTTGATTACGAACCCTTCAAAATAACTGCTTGAGATAAGGGTTCTAAAGGTGTTGCTTTATATGCTGTCTCACTATTGTGCAGAATGCCTGTTGTAAATATTATTGACTTGGGAGATTCAGTTCTCCATAGGAGAAGAATACAATGTTATATGATCTTTTCCATATTATTAATCTCCACAGTCTTTGTAGAATTTAAGAAAATCCAAAATTAATGCCAGTGTTTTAATCTTCATAGTGTTTTAAACACATATGTAATTTAAAAAAGAAACAAAAAAATATATGTAATAAGAAGGAACTAAATCTGGAAAGCAATGCAGATTGAGGTTTTTAAACCAAGTATCAATGTTCTTGTAGAAAAATTCGGATAGATAAAAGCATGAAGGGCAAGGAGTAGAGATGTAACTGTAAAGGAGCAGAATTTTTGTATACTATTGAAACTAAGTTCAGATTAATTCCAACTTGATTGTTAGAAAATGAAGGTAACTATTTAAGGAGAAACTAAAAAAGAAAAGAACTGAGAAGGGAATCAATACAGTATACTAGAACAACAAATTGAGGAACATATAGAAAATAAATAGCAAAATGGGAAAATTAAATCATCCTAAATCAATAATTACTTGAGATATAAGTGCATTCAGCTCTTTAATTAAAAGGCAGAGATTAACAGAATAGATTAAAAAACATGAATAGACTGTAGGGGACATTTTATTTCCTTTTTTGTTTTTGAGAGAGAAAAAGAGTGCTCAAGCTGGGTAGGGGGAGAGGGAGAGAGAGAACTCCAAGCAGGCTCCACGCCCAAGGTGGAGCCCTCCCTGGGGTTCAATCCCATGACCGTGAGGTCATGACCTGAGCTGAAATCAACTAAGATGCACAACCAATTTAGCCACCCAGGCACCCGTAGACATTTTAGATCCAAAAGCACAAACGTGTTGAAAATGGGTGTGGGGGCGCCTGGGTGGCTCAGTCGGTTAAGTGTCCGACTTTGGCTCAGGTCGTGATCTCATGGTTCGTGGGTTCAAGCCCTGTGTTGGGCTCTGTGCTGACAGCTCCGAGCCTGGAGCCTGCTTTGGATTCTGTGTTTCCCTCCCTTTGCCCCTCCCCTGCTCTCACTCTGTCTCTCTCTCTCTCAAAAATAAACATTAAAATTTAAAAAAAAAAGAAAAGAAAATGGGTGTGAAAAAATATTCTGCACAAATAGTAACCAACAGAGAGCTGGGATGGTAATGCTAATATCAGACACAATAGATTTTAAGTAAAACATTGTTGCAAGAGCAAAAAGGACATTATATATTGATAAATGAATCAATCCATCAAGAAAATAAAAACAGTTTTAAACATAGTATGTACCAAACAGCAGAGACCCGAAATATATGAAGCAAAAATTGATGGAGAAATAGTTTGACGATAATAGTTGAAGACTTCAGTGCCCCACTTTAAATAATGGATAGGACAACTAAACAGAAGAAGATAAAACAAACAAACTTTAGCAACAGTATAAAACAATTAGATCTAATAAACTTATATAGAATGCTTTATCCAACAAGAGTAGAGTACACATCTTTCTCAATTGTACACGGAACATTCTCCAAGGTAGATGATGAATTAGGCTGTGAACAAGTCTTAATACATTTAAAAAGATTGAAATCATCCAAAGTATCTTCTCTGATCACAGTGGAATGAACCTAGAAATCAGTAACAGAAGAAAAACTGGAAAATTCACAAATAGGTGGAAATTAAATAAGAGATTACAAGTGAAATTAGAAGATACTTAATAGATGAAAATGAAAACACAATATACCAAAACCTGTGGGAAAATAGTGCACAGAAGAAAATTTATAGCTGTAAATGTTTACATTAAAAACAAAGATCCCAAATAAATAACCTAACTTTACACTTTTAAGAAACTAGAGAAAGAAGAGCAAGCTAAACCCAAAGCTAGATTATGGAAAGAAATAATAAAGATTAGAACAGAGATAAATGAAACAGAGAATAGGAAGACAGTAGAAAGAGTCCGCAAAAGCAAAAATTGGTTTCTTGAAAATATTATCAAAATTGACAATTTTCAGCTTGACTGACCAAGAATAAAAGAACACACAAATAACTAAAATCAGAAATGGAAGTTGGGGACATTACAATAAGCCTTACAGAAATAAAAAAGACTAAGAATATTATGAACAATTTTCTGTCAATGAATTTGTCAATCTCACCCTTAGGTGAGATGGGTAAGTTCCTAGAAACATAGAAACTACTGAAACTGACTCAAGAAGAAATGGGAAATCTGAATAGACATCAAAAACTTCTCAACAAATAAAAGTCCAGGACCAGGAAACTTCACTCACAATGCTACCAAACATTTAATTTTTTTTTTTTTTACATTTATTTATTTTTGAGAG